CGGTAGGCCTCCTACCCTGACACGTCGATTCAGGAACTGGCCGCTTTCGGTTCGCGAGAGGGCGTCGCGGCCGTCATTTTTGCGGGTCCGGGTCCGTGGGTTTCGGCCCCAGGCCGTTTTCATTACGGGGAGGTCTACTGAAGGGAGGTTTGTCCACCGCCGAGTTTTCCCTCCCCATCATCCTGCACTCTTTTTGTTTTAGGCGCGCTGTGCTTGCAAGAGACCTGTCTCATGTGGTGTCAAAGTCGGGCGCGTCCCTCTACAGGAGTAATATTCCAAAACAACCCAAAAATCGTATGGGCATGGTTTCTTAACTATGTTTGGTAAATGTTTGAGAATGTCTTGCCTATGTTTTAAACTTTCGTCCAACATCCGCCTGTAGGAGGACATGCCCGACCTCAATGTGGTGACGCCCGTGAAGCCGGGGGGGAACTGCGAGCCAGGTGCCCGCGCAACACATCTGACATTCTGACCTCCCGCCCCTCCCTTCCCGCTGCGCAGGATTATCTTCTGTCCGCCGGCCGGGGTGCCCCAGGCGGCCATGATTCACAAAACGGCCTCGTCGTGCGATGCGCGATCGGAGGGGGGGCGAGGGGAGGTTGCGGATGCGGCGGAGGAAGAAACAGATCAGATGGAAACATGAGGAGGAGGCGGAGCAGCACGAGCAGGAGGAGTGGGAGGAGCAGGGGGTTCTAGGCAAGGCGGGGGAGGTAAACGGAGGGGGACGGCAACGACGAGGAGCAAACCAGATCAAGGAATGTGGCCCGCGCCGGTCCTGAAGTGCAGCCAACGCGGCCGCGGGATGGAAGAACGCCTTGAAACAACACAACAAGCAACAAAGATATAGTGTGTGTGTGTGTGATGTGTGTTTTGTGGTGTGTGGTGTGTGGTGTGTGGTGTGATGTGTAATGTGAGATGTGTGACGTGTGATGTGTGATGTGTGATGTGTGTGATGAGTATGATGTGTTTGATCTGTGTGTTGTGTGTCATGTTTTTGTGGGATCTGCGTGTGGGATGTGTGTGCGATGTGTGTGGCGTGTGTGATGTTCCCCAATCAGAGCTTGCCTCTGTAGGGATCCTAGCGGATTAAAGGGTTAGGTGAGGTTGGTCGCCGATTTCGGTGGCCGGGCCCGGGTGCCCGGGTGCTCGGGTGCCCGGCGGTGCCCGGGTGCCCGGGTGGCCGGTGAGGTGCGTGGCCGATTTCGGTGGCGCCGGTTTTTGGCGCCCGGGTGCCCGGGGGTGCCCAATAGCCCAGTAGCCCTATAGCCCTATAGCCCTGAAGCCGTATAGCCCTATAGCCCTGTAGCCCTATAGCCTTATATCCCAATAGCCCTAATAGCCTTATATCCCTATAGCCCTATAGCCCCATAGCCCATATAGCTCTATAGCCCCATAGCCCTATAGCCCTATGGCCCTATAGGTCACAGTCCTATAGCCCTATAGCCCTATAGTCCGATAGCCCTATAGCCCTATAGCCCGATAGCCCTATAGCCCGATAGCCCTATAGCCCCATAGCCCTATATCCCTTAAAAAATATGATTGGGTTTTTTCTCCGGTATCATGTGTTTGATATGTGTGTGTGTGCGTGTGGGTGGGTGGGTGGTGGATGGGTGGGTGGTGGATGGGTCGGTGAGTGGGTGGGTAGGTGGGTGGGTGAGTGGGTGGGTGGGTCGGTGGGTGGGTGGGTGGGTGTTCGTGTGTGTGTGTTTGTGTCTGTGTGTGTTTGTGTGTTGGGGTTCTGTGCTTGTGTTCGTGTGTGCGTGTGTGCGTGTGTGTGTGTGTGTTCGTGTTTGTGTGTGTGTTTTGTGTTTGTGTGTTGTGTCTTTATGTTTGTTTGCTTGGGTTTGTGCTTGCGAGTTTATGTTTGTGTGTTGTTGTGTTTGTGTGTTTGTGTGTGTTTGCGAATGTATGCCTGTGCTTGTGGGTGCTTGTGTGTCTGCGTGCATGTGGTTGTGTCTGTGTGGTTATGTGTTGTGTTTGTGCATGTGTGTGGTTGTGTTTGTGTGTTTGGGTTTGTGCTTGTGTGCTGTGTGTTGTGTGTTGGTGTTAGTGTGTTTGTGTGTGGTGGTGTACTTGTTTGTGTGTGTTTGCGATTGTGTGTTTGTGGTTGTGTGGTTAAGTTGTGTGGTTGTGCTTATGTGTTTGTGTGTTGGTTGTTGTGTTTGTCCGTTTGTGTGTGGTTGTGTTGGTGTTTTTAGTGTTTGGTTTGTGTGTTTATGTGGATGTGGTTGTCTCTTGCGAGTTTGTGTTTGTTTTGTCGTGTGTGGTTTTGTGTGTTTGTCTGTACGTGTGTGTATTTGTGTTTGTGTGTGGTGTTTGTGTGTGGTGTGTGCTTTTTGTTGTATGTGTTGTGCGCTGTGTGTTTGTGTTTGTGTGTATGTGTTTGTGTGCTTGTGTTTGTGTTTTTGCGTGTTTGTGCTTGTGTGGTTGTGTGTGTTTGTGTGCTTGTGTGTGTTTGTGAGTGAGTGTGTGTATGTGTGTTCGTGTGTGTGTGTTGGGTTTGTGTGCTTATGTATGTTTGTGTGTGCTTGTGCATGTATGTGTGTGTGTTTGTGTGTGTGTTTGTGTGTGGATGATGCTCTGGTACGGTTCATGCTCGGGACCCAACAGTAATGTTGATTCGCTGCGTTGAAGTCCCAGGATTTGTGGCCTGGCACGGTTGACGACTCTCAGACGGCAGTCTTCCAAAAGAGCATGTCTTGCAGTGGAAAATGTTTTTCTTAGAGGGACCTATGAAGAGGGAATTTTGCTGGCTTGGTGCAACATCGTTCATGCGTCGTGGGCTACACTTGGCTACACTTGGTCCTTCCTCGATCCACTTCCGCCACCTCCCCAGGAGGCGACGGAGGCGGGGAGAGAGGGGGAGGTGGAGTGCGAGGGGGAGGGCGCGAAGGGGGAGGCGGGTGGGAGCCCCTCCTCCTCCTCCTGCTGCTGGCTGTTGCCGCCCCTCCCCCCCTCGACAGCACCGCGGTCGCTCGGCCTCTGCCGGGGCCCCAGGCCCTGCTCGGGCGGAGGCCGGCGGAGGCAGAGGCTTGGCCCCCAGGTCGTCGACGCTTGCGCCGGCCGCCGGCGCACCCCGGGCTCCCGTAGCTCGAGCAGTGGCGAGGCGTCCCGGCTCGCCTATAGCCCCACCAAACACTGTTCTGAGAACCTTTTGTGGTTCCCACGAGATGCTCTCAGGACATTTTTGGGTTCTGAGAACATTTCGTGGTATGACTATGGGAATGCTGGGACGGTCGGCCCCTGCTCCCGCAACGGCCGCACGCGGCCTCTGGTTTTCGGGACGATCGACATGGGTGCGGAAAGAATGGGTACGATGCCCATAAGCAGTTCCTGCCCACTCTGAGCAGGACTCGCTTTCCGCACCGCCGCGGACGTGGTTCTGTGAAGACAAACAGCCGCCTGCGCAGCAGCGGCCGCTGTCGGTTTTGGACCCCGTTGGTTGTTCGGCATTGTACCCATTTCGGGTATAGCCAGCACCCCAGGTAAGGGGACCCGGATAGTAGTAGGGCCCCGGAGCCTCTAATTTGGCCGGGATCGCTAAACCAGGTCTGCCGCAGCTGGTGTTTTTTTCGGGTGGCGGCAGTTCTGGTTAGTGGAACGGGGCAGGGGCGGCGTCCCCCAGTACACATCACTAAACCAGGCCCCACGGAACCCAGTTCTGCCAACGCCCGACCACTTCGGGCGCGTCCAGGCCACTGTTTCGGACCCACTTCGGGCGTCCGGGCTCTGCTTCGTTCTGTGAGCCCGAACTGTTCGCACCCTGCCCTCGTCTCCGGTGTGGCCCAAGGAGCAACCGGGCAGAACACGCACGCACGCACACACACACACACACAAACACGCACACACGCACACACACACACACACACACATACACACACACACACACATACTTGTGTTGCGTCGGCGGCTCGGGCATATGAATGCGAATTAGGCGAATTAGGCCGCAATGCAGGGGGGAGATAGAAGGAACGCCCGGCGGTGGCGGGAGGGAGACGGCAGACGGGCCCGCGCCCAGCGGTGACGGGAGGGAGACGGAAGCCGGGCCCGCTCAGAACGGGGCCACGCGGCGGCGGGGTGGCGCCACGCACACACAAATCAGGAGGGAGAAAAACACGCAGACACAATTAATCGTCGACTCCCAGGAAAATATGGGAAGTGGGGGGAAGACAAAACCCAGAAAATATGGGAAAACGTGGGGAATCCTTTTATTCGTGTGTATTTCTGTGTGTGTGTCCCAGGGCCCCTTCAAAAGCGAGGCACCCAGGGACGCCCTGGGAGCCAGAAGGTGCAGAGGGGGGGAGACGCCGGCCCCCCAACAGCGCAGTGACGGGAGGCGGCGGGCAGCGGGCAGTGGCGGGGGGTAGCTCACACACACACACACACACACACAGCGCACAACACAGCAACACGAAGCACAAAACACAAAACACACAACACAACACAAAACGTAACACAAGACATAATCCAATACAATTCGACTTAACACAACGGAAACAACACAACCACAATTCATAAAACACGCAACACAAAACACTAAACAATACAACACAACACAAAACACGAAACACAACCACAAAACGCAAAACACAAACCACGAAGCACAACACAACACAAAACAAACACAGCACAACACACACCACAACACAGCACAACACAAAGCACAGCACGACATGACACGACACAGCACGACACAGCACAACACAGCACAGCACAGCACAACACAACACACACGCACACACGCACACGCACGCGCACAACAGCACTTGGAGCAGGGCTCGCTGTCCGCGCCGCCGCGGCCTGTGTCCATTTGAGTCAGAAGGCCGCCTGCCCAACAGCGGCCGCTGTTGGCTTGGGACAACACTTGCTGTTGGGCATTGTGCCCATTTGTTCCGTACCCATTTTGGGCGTCCAAATCCGAGCGATGGCAAACTTGCCCCAAGTCGGGCCTGTCCTTCTGCAAGAGGCACAGTCAAAGATAATCAACAAAACATAGTATAGGGGACGACTTGTTGACCATGCTTGCGTATTTGTTGGATATGGTTCGGCTATCCTGCTTCGTCCAAAATCCGCCTGTAGGGGGGCATGCCCGACCTAAAGCTGGCCCCGACGGCGGCTGGCCGACCGCGGCACCGGCATCTACCACCTGGGCGGGGCGCACAGCGGCTGCAACGAGGCGTCGCTGACCCTGGCGGACATCTTCGAGGCGCGCCCAGACGGCTCGCCGCCCACGGCGGCCGTGCTCATCAACTTCATGATCGACCTGCCGTGGCTCATGGAGGAGTGCCCCACGCTGGTCAACGTGCCTTCGCTCACGGTGATATCCACCGAGGACCAAGGCGTCATCGCCCAGGGCTCCGATCGTCGTGGGGACAGGCCCACGCACGTGCATCGCCCATCGCTGCCCCTGCAGTGGGGCACCCACCACACGAAAGCGGCGCTGCTTGAGTACGAGGGTGCTCTGAGGGTGTGCGTCCACTCGGCGAACTACGTGTACTGCAACTGGCACGCGAAGAACCAGGGAATTTTCGTGCAGGACTTCCCTGCACGAAACGTTGGGGACAGCAGCCCCGACGCGGACGCATTTGGATCTGAGTTTCATCTGTACTTGCAACGGTACCTCGGACACTGCGGCGGGGTGGATTGCCGCTTTCTGGACAGGTACGACTTCTCGGCCGCCTCTGTCGCTCTCGTCGGCAGCGTGCCTGGCTACCACAAGGGCGCGGAAGCTAGCCAGTGGGGCCACTTGAGACTCAGGAAGCTGCTGGCCCAGCACGCAGAGGTGCCCCTGGAGTGGCGCGGGCGCGGAGGTGTCCTGGCGCAGTTCTCCAGCCTCGGCAGCCTGCAGCCGAGGTGGCTGGAGGACTTCACCCACACGCTCAGCACGTCCACGGCCGGGGTGGACACGCGCCTGCAGCCCGCTCTGGCGGTCCCTTCAGTGGAGCAGGTGCGGGGCGGACTCGAGGGCTGGGCCGCGGGGTGCTCCGTGCCCATCCGCAGGGAAAACCTGCAGCGGCCATTCCTCGACGGCCTGTGGCGCAGGTGGGGCTTCGCGCCGGCCGAGGGTGGGGCCCTCGCCGCGAGAGCAGCCGAAGCCATGCCGCACATCAAGACGTACTGCAGGTATGGGCCCGCCGATGCCGACGGGCGAAGCACCATGGCCTGGCTGTACTGTGGCTCGCACAACCTCTCCAAGGCGGCCTGGGGCGAGGCCCAGCGTGGCGGCAGCCAGCTGTGCGTGCGCTCCTACGAGCTCGGCGTGGTGTACTTCCCCCGCCGCCTGGAGCTTCTGGAGGCGGACCCCCGCCGCGGGGGCTTCTTCCTGCGGCGGCGGCCCCAGCCGACGGGCCCCGCCGCAGCCGGGGGGCCCGCCGCGCCCGTGCTCTGCCCGCGGAGATGGCGGTACCCAACCGCGCTGCCGCCTGCGCCAGCTTGCGGCGCGGTGTGGGCCGTGAACCACACCGACTATCTCGGCTTGGACCGCCACGGGCAGCCCGGCCCCACTGGCGTGGGCGTGAGATATTACGGCAACGGTCGGTGCAGGCCAGACCCGCCTTCGGCGGCCGAGGAGTTCCGACAGGGCCGCCGGCGCTTGCTGGCGACGGACGCCGCGGGCGCGGCGCATGCGGCCTCGGCGGGGCCCGGCAGCGGCGGGCTGCATGCTGGCGTGGTGGAGCTGCTCGACTCCGACGACGAGGCAGCGGAGGCGGCGGAGGACGACGAGCTGCGGCAGGCCGTGGCGGTGTCGCTGTCAGAGGCGCACGCGGGCGCGGCTCTCGGGGCGCGGGAGGACGAGGAGCTGCGCCTGGCCGTGGCCCTCTCACTGGCGGGCGCGGCGGGGGCCGCAGCGCCCGCGGCGCTCATGGCGCCGCTGCCTCTGGAGGTCGGGGCCTCGCCGCAGGCGGCCGCGGCCGCAGCCGCAGCGGCTGCGCGCACGGGGGCGGGAGGCGCCACACCCGCGGCGCGCGAGGCGCTGCCGCCGTTGGCTGGGGCGCCGCCGCCGGCAGTCGGCGAGGCGGGCGCGGCGGCGGCGGCGCCTGCTCCAGGGTCGGGCTCCGGGGGGACGCGACCTGGGCACCTGGCGGGCCAAGAACGGGCCACGGCAGACTGCTCCGCCGCGGGGGACGCCTGCCCCAGGGCGGCTGGAAAGCTTATGCCTTTGCGGTGGCACGTCGGAGTGCAACTCTCCAGCCGCCCTGGGGCAGGCGTCCCCGACGGCGGAAAAGTTGATTGAAGTCAGAGCGTGAGTAGCCTACCCCGCTTCCGCCCCCAGGCAAAACCAAGGCGTACCACGCGCCTCCTCGTCAAGCGGCCCGACCAGTGCGGCCCGTAGTTTGGCATCGCTTGGTACCTCTTGGAAGCGAGGGTGGTCAAAAGCGAGGTAGGTTCGTTTGCCATCTATTAATGCCGTTCTTCGTCCGCAAAGGCACAGGAGCTTCGCGGAGGTGGTCGCGGCGCTGGAGGGGTACCCCAGCCGCGCACCCCGAGACCCGCCGGGCGGTGCGGTCGCGCACGACGGCAGGCGGCGGCGACGACGACGGCGGGCGGCGACAACGACGACCACCACCACCACCACCACGACGACGACGACGACCACGAACACGACCTCGACCACGACCACGACCACGACGACGACGACGACGACGACGACGACGACGACGACGACGACGACGACGACGACGACTACGACGACGACGACGACCACGACCACGACCTCGACCTCGACGACGACGACGACGACAATCATAGCAACGACCACGACGACCACGACGACCACGATCACGACGACGACAACGACCACGACCACGACGACGACGACCACAGCCACGACGACCACAACTACGACCACGACGATGACCACAACGACGACGTCCACGACAACCACGAGGGGGAGGAGGGGGGAGAGGAGAAGGCGGGAGAGAGGAAAGAGAAGAAGGGGTCACGTGCGCCCTCGCGCCACATCTGACATCGGACCCCACCCATCCACCCCCATTACATAGAATCGCGTCCGTACGTGATCCCTACATGGCAGTTGCAGGATTTAGCCTCGTTTGATGTGCAATCGGATTTCGGCGGGGGGGGAACTCGTGAGTTGGAGAAGCAGGAGCTGGAGACGGAGCAGCAGCAGGAGGAGGAGGAGGAGGAGGGGAAGAAGAACGGAGGAGGAGGAGGAGGAGGAGGAGGAGGAGGAGGAGAAGAAAAACGGAGGAGAAGCAGGAGCAGGAGAAGCAAGAGGCCCAGGGAAGGGCGCCATTCTGAATCGAACATGGGGGCGGCGCCCCCCCCGCGCGCGGACGGCATTCAGAATGATCGACTGGAGCATGGCATGGAGAGCTTGCCATCCAG